ATTTGGCTTTTTAACCATCATTTGGCATTTAAAACAATTTGGCATTTAAATCTGGCAACGTAATTTTTCATCGAAATTCATGTCAAAATTTTACCCCTAAATATCTCACATGACATGGGTCAAAATTTCCCAGCCGCATAACTCGGTCAAAACTCAGCTGATTTTCACGTGGTTTGGTTTTTTACCCATCGTTTGGCATTTAAAACAATATGGCATTTAAATCTGGCAACGTAATTTTTCATCGAAATTCATGTCAAAATTCTACCCCTAAATGTCTCACATGACATGGGTCAAAACTTCCCAGCCTCATAACTCGGTCAAAACTCAGCCGATCTTCACATGGTTTGGTTTTTTACCCATCGTTTGGCATTTAAAACAATATGGCATTTAAATCTGGCAACGTAATTTTTCATCGAAATTCATGTTAAAATTGTACCCCTAAATATCTCACATGACATGGATCAAAATTTCCCAGCCGCATAACTCGGTCAAAACTCAGCCGATTTTCACCTGGTTTGGTTTTTTACCCATCGTTTGGCATTTAAAATAATTTGGCATTTTAATCTGCCAACGAAATTTTTCATCGAAGTTCATGTCAAAATTGTACCCCTAAATATCTCACATGACATGGGTCAAAACTTCCCAGCCCCATTACTCGGTCAAAACTCAACCGATTTTCACCTGGTTTGGCTTTTTACCCATCGTTTGGCATTTAAAACAATATGGCATTTAAATCTGGCAACGTAATTTTTCATCGAAATTCATGTTAAAATTGTACCCCAAAATATCTCATATGACATGTGTCAAAACTTCCCAGCCTCATAACTCGGTCAAAACTCAGCCGATTTTCACCTGGTTTGGTTTTTTACCCGTCGTTTGGCATTTAAAACAATATGGCATTTAAATCTGGCAACGTAATTTTTCATCGAAATTCATGTCAAAATTCTACCCCTAAATGTCTCACATGACATGGGTCAAAACTTCCCAGCCTCATAACTCGGTCAAAACTCAGCCGATCTTCACATGGTTTGGTTTTTTACCCATCGTTTGGCATTTAAAACAATATGGCATTTAAATCTGGCAACGTAATTTTTCATCGAAATTCATGTTAAAATTGTACCCCTAAATATCTCACATGACATGTGTCAAAACATCCCAGCCTCATAACTCGGTCAAAACTCAGCCGATTTTCACCTGGTTTGGTTTTTTACCCATCGTTTGGCATTTAAAACAATATGGCATTTAAATCTGGCAACGTAATTTTTCATCGAAATTCATGTCAAAATTGTACCCCTAAATGTCTCACATGACATGGGTCAAAACTTCCCAGCCCCATTACTCGGTCAAAACTCAACCGATTTTCACGTGATTTGGCTTTTTAACCATCATTTGGCATTTAAAACAATTTGGCATTTAAATCTGGCAACGTAATTTTTCATCGAAATTCATGTCAAAATTGTACCTCTAAATATCTCACATGACATGGGTCAAAATTTCCCAGCCGCATAACTCGGTCAAAACTCAGCCGATTTTCACCTGGTTTGGTTTTTTACCCATCGTTTGGCATTTAAAATAATTTGGCATTTTAATCTGCCAACGAAATTTTTCATCGAAATTCATGTCAAAATTGTACCCCTAAATATCTCACATGACATGGGTCAAAACTTCCCAGCCCCATTACTCGGTCAAAACTCAACCGATTTTCACCTGGTTTGGCTTTTTACCCATCGTTTGGCATTTAAAACAATATGGCATTTAAATCTGGCAACGTAATTTTTCATCGAAATTCATGTTAAAATTGTACCCCAAAATATCTCATATGACATGTGTCAAAACTTCCCAGCCTCATAACTCGGTCAAAACTCAGCCGATTTTCACGTGGTTTGTTTTTTTACCCATCGTTTGGCATTTAAAACAATATGGCATTTAAATCTGGCAACGTAATTTTTTATCGAAATTCATGTCAAAATTGTACCCCTAAATATCTCACATGACATGGGTCAAAACGTCCCAGCCTCATAACTCGGTCAAAACTCAACCGATTTTCACGGGATTTGGCTTTTTAACCATCATTTGGCATTTAAAACAATTTGGCATTTAAATCTGGCAACGTAATTTTTCATCGAAATTCATGTTAAAATTGTACCCCTAAATATCTCACATGACATGGGTCAAAACGTCCCAGCCTCATAACTCGGTCAAAACTCAACCGATTTTCACGGGATTTGGCTTTTTAACCATCATTTGGCATTTAAAACAATTTGGCATTTAAATCTGGCAACGTAATTTTTCATCGAAATTCATGTTAAAATTGTATCCCTAAATATCTCACATGACATGGGTCAAAATTTCCCAGCCTCATAACTCGGTCAAAACTCAGCCGATTTTCACCTGGTTTGGTTTTTTACCCATCGTTTGGCATTTAAAATAATTTGGCATTTAAATCTGGCAACGTAATTTTTCATCGAAATTCATGTCAAAATTGTACCCCTAAATATCTCACATGACATGGGTCAAAATTGTCCAGCCTCATAACTCGGTCAAAACTCAACCGATTTTCACGTGGTTTGGTTTTTTACCCATCATTTGGCATTTAAAATAATTTGGCATTTAAATCTGGCAACGTTATTTTTCATCGAAATTCATGTCAAAATTGTACCCCTAAATATCTCACATGACATGGGTCAAAACTTCCCATCCTCATAGCTCGCTCAAAACTCAACCGATTTTCACCTGGTTTGGCTTTTTACCCATCGTTTGGCATTTAAAATAATTTGGCATTTAAATCTGGCAACGTAATTTTTTATCGAAATTCATGTCAAAGTTGTACCCCTAAATATCTCACATGACATGGGTCGAAATTTCCCAACCTCATAACTCGGTCAAAACTCAACCGATTTTCACGTGATTTGGCTTTTTAACCATCATTTGGCATTTAAAACAATTTGGCATTTAAATCTGGCAACGTAATTTTTCATCGAAATTCATGTTAAAATTGTACCCCTAAATATCTCACATGACATGGGTCAAAATTTTCCAGGCTCATAACTCGGTCAAAACTCAACCGATTTTTACGTGGTTTGGTTTTTTACCCATCGTTTGGCATTTAAAATAATTTGGCATTTAAATCTGGCAACATAATTTTTCATCGAAATTCATCTTAAAATTGTACCCTTAAATATCTCATATGGTCATGTGTGAAATGTTCCGATTTTCATATGGTTGACTTTTTTGTCGTGGTTTAATCCCTATAATAATTAGTCCTTTAAGACTGGCGGAAATTTATGTTAAAATTGGCTACAATAGTTCTCAACCAAGTCAGTCGGCTGAGCTTTGCAACTGCGTCCTCCTGTTCTCATAGATTTTCAACACAGCTGTGCCTTAAAGAGTATCGTCATTGCTCGCATATATATATATATATTTATTTCTTTATAATATATTCCTCAATAATTTATGGCCAGCAGCTTCCGAAATGCAAGCAGCCAAAAATTAGTCATAGCTCGAAACATTAATAAATTGGCTTCTGAGCAACAGGAAATGGGAAAATAACCACCACAGCAATTTTCGTGCCCACGGCTTTTAGGGGTAGCAAAAGCTCCCACAGCAAAATGGGAACATCTAAATTTGAGCAATTAATAAAAAATGTTCATAAAAAAAAAAAGAAAAAGGAAATTTAATTAAAGCAAAATACTTGGCACAGCAATTAACAAGCGGCACATGTGCGTGGTCCAAGCGGGGCTGAAAGGAGGGGACAGGCAGAGAGGCAGTCCAAGTTGCGAATCCAGCGAACGCCTCCACCCGCCGGAATGTGCCACATCTTTTCTTGTTGTTGTTGTTGTTGCTTTGACTGCTTGGACGCCACGTAGCCGGGCGGGCATTGTTTTTGGCCTGGCACTCATAACGCCAGCGCGAACATGTCACCATTTCATTTCCAGCTGCAAGGAATTTCAAATTGTCAAGGGGAGGATTGGAGGGGGACTACTGGTTTGCCATTTGGACGGCCCGCTGGAGAGCTTGTTATGCAAGTTGAAAGGGAATTTGTGTCAGGCAGCGCACTTTGGCGTCTGTCTGCGTATGCCGGGAGTGCGTGCGCGGTCCACCAGCTCCAGTTGCAGCTCCAGCTGGAGCAGGTCTCGGGGATACCAGTTGCATAATTATGATTAAATTATTTTATTAAAAGCATTTCATGTTAAATATGTAATGCATGCGATAATTGCAGCGACATTTTCTAATTGCATGCACACATTTCTGGGACAAGTTCAAAGGATCTAATAGGGCACAGTTGTGCGTAGCGAAAGGATGCGTTCATTTTGTGCATTTTATTCATTTGAATGACACCAAAAATTGTGAAATTTATGGGTTTATTTATCTTTTTCTATAAACTGAAAATCTATTCAGGGACCAACCAATTTTAATTTGTTTTTACCTCAAGCTGAGCCTTGAACCGAATAAGTATTTCAAAGAGCTGGAAATCATAAATTTGACCCAAAGTTTTTTTAAAGCAAATGTTCTGATTAAAAAAAGATGTTCAAAAGCCTACATGATAAACTTAGTGCTTCCAACCTAATATTCAAAATATGCTCAGATGCGAGGATCGATATTTATCGATTTTAGATAAATAAACTGGAAAAACGTATGGCATAGAGAAACTGTATAAGTAGACCGAACTTGGCTAGAAATGACTTGAGTTTTAATGCAAATCAAGAATATTTATGTTTTTTTTAAGATATTTATAAGAATATATCCTTCATTTTTTGGCAAATTTAAAATATTGCGTCATTTTGTTGAAAGTAACTCCAGGTTTTTACGATTTTATGTTAAAATTATATTTATATTTGAAAAACGAGGATCATTTTTAAATATGCAAAGCAACCTTGTTATGATAAAACACATAACATATTGTTTTTATCGATCCGAATAGGCTGTGCATTTTTCTCAGACTGTTGTCAAGCGGAGCACTGAGCGTATCAGCAATATAATCTCATTTAGTTTTTGAGTCTCACAAAATTAACACGTTTTTCTTTGTTCCGTTTTCCGAATTCATATATATATATATAAATATATATTAAAAAAAAGTCAAAATTGCGAAAAAAAAAGAACAGAACGTTTTTCCTTGACCGATATATTTAGTAGGCCCATTCCTGTACGTGTGTGTGCGCGCGCGTGTGTATTTTTTTTGAGCAACTGTGCGTGCGTGTGTGTGTGTGTCTGTGCGCGTGCCATAGTTATCGATAACAATCGAAAACCGTAGCTTCGATAGCAGCAGCAGCAGCAGCAGTAGTTGCCACCGCAAAGATGAGTGAGAAGGACAAGAATATCGTTTGCCACAAGTGCAACGAGACGATCACAAAGCGCGTTATAACGGCTTTGGGCAAGACCTGGCATCCGGAGCATTTCCTGTGCCGACATTGCGACAAACAGATCGAGGATGCCACCTTTAATATACAGGACGGTGAGCCCGTGTGCAGCGATTGCTTTGTCGAACGCTATACGAGCACCTGTGCCGCCTGCAAGAAGCCCATCCTGGAGCGCACCATATGCGCTATGGGCGAAAATTGGCATGAGAGCTGTTTTGTGTGCGATGGCGCCTGCAAGAAGCCCTTGTCGAATCGCCCCTTCTATGAGCGGGACGGCAAGGCCTATTGCAAGCAGGATTACGAGGATATGTTTGCCGTACGCTGTGCCAAATGCGAGAAGCCCATCACAGATAGTGCCATCGTTGCCATGAACGCTAAATGGCATCGTGATTGCTTCCGTTGCAATCGCTGCGAAAATCCGATCACATCACAGACCTTCACCATCGAGGGGGACAAGCCCGTTTGTCCTGCCTGCACCTGCTAGATGGGGAGGCATCAAAAAAAAAATGCCACTAACCGGACAAACTTGTACTGCACCTGGACCATATCGGAACTGAATAACATACGTACATTTACATATATAAACCATACAACATAAAAAAAAACCAAACAAACAAACAACCATCATTGAGGTTAGGTTTTGATTGTTCATGCATTTATAGTTTTAAGAGCTAGTGCTTCCGGACAATTGGAATTATAAATGTACCTGTAATCTCAATCTGAGGCTCAATAAACTATGTAACAATTACGTACACAATATACACCTACAATTCCCCCCACCCAGTTACAATACACTAAATAACTCAATAGAAAATGAAATTGCTTGCGTGTTTTCCTTTATTCCATTTGACATTTTAAGAAATGATCTCGATTGTGTGAAATGTTTGTATATGTGTTTGTGTGTATGTATGTGGGTTCAAGTATGTAGGTGTGGGTGTTTGTGTATGCAGGTGTGGGTGTGCATTTATGCATATGTATGTATGTATTTATGTATGTTTGTTTTCTTGTATCAAATGCAGACCAAGCTAATTATCGCTGTGCTGCAAATTTAAATAAAAACGAATTTCTACCAAGTGCTCTCCTCCTCGATTCTCAAGGTTTAAAGTAGGCCCTGCTTAAATTCAAGAAGGCAGCAAGCGTTGGCTTCGGCGGCCGGTGGAGGAGCAGCTTGAGGCGGAGGAGCAGTTTGAGGAGGTGGGTGGGTAAGTAGGTATGTATGTATGTAGGTATGCATTTATGTATGTATGTATGTAGGTAGGTATTAAGGTATGTATGTATGTATGGTATGGTATGTATGTATGTATGTATGTGTGTGTGCTAGTTTCATAGCAGGCGGCGGCTTCAACTATAGAGGGGATGGCGGCTTCAATATTGGAGAAGGAGACAGCTTTATGATGGAGACGGTGGCATTAATGTAAAAAATATATGTAATTGACTAGCATCTATAGACGCGGCGATCTAGCCATGTCCTAAGAGAGCTGAGAATTGAATTGTACGTCGTTTTAGTTCCCTCGCAGTACAAGTTTATTTCCGATAATCGATAACTTGACCCGTTTCCAAGCAATATTAATCCTAGTTTTAATGATAATAGATGCAAAATTTGATATGCAGCCTTATAGCTGGAAATTTAATGCCATCAAATTGGGCAGCAAAGTTAGATATTAGAATCCTCGAAAATTAATTTTTCTTATGTGGATTTTCATAAAGATAAGGTAAGTGCTTAATCTTTATCCACTGGTAGCACCAGTGAGTAACTTCCATATGAATGTTTGGCAAATAGACCAGATGCGAACCCATATTAAATAGCCAAGAGATAAGAAGCCCAAACCCTTGCCTAATCTACACCCAAAATGTACCGTATGTCTATTTGCCTATGTGCAGAGTGCGTTTCACAGATATGGAAAGTGCGAGGGATGAGATCATGTTTCGGTCAGGAGATGCAGGGCAGCAGTGCTGTCAAGTTAGCTATATTCCAGCTAAAGTTGGCTATATTTAGAGGTAGTCAGCGAGAAACCGTTGAAATTTTAAACTTATTTAGCTTTTTCTAACATTAGTTAATGTTTTTTAGCTTTTTCTAACACTTTCTTTGAAGCGTTAGCTGGCAACACTGGACAGATGCAATCATGCCAGAGAGTGCCAGAGCGAGAGAGAGAGAGAGAGGGGTGCAAGATGAAATATAATCAACTTGATTATCTCATGCTCGTATTCAAACTAATATATTGGCTATCAGTGCGCGCTGGGATAAGGATTACCCCGTTGATAAGCAAACAGAGCGCAGCAGCAGCAGCAGCAACAGGGTGAACCGAGGGGAGCATGCTGCAAGGGTGTTTTTATGCGATGAAAATGGACACACACACAGCACACACACACACACATAGCACACCCAGCGAACGATGACAACCGACGACAACGTCCACAACGACGACGAAAAAGTTTTCTGTGTGATTTTGTGGGTTTGCGGCTTTTCAGTTGCCTCGCTGCCGGTTTCAGTTTCATTGGTAAAACGAAGCGCATGGAAAGCGGTTCCATGGCAGCTAAACGCGATTGTTAACGTGGCCACGAGCAGCGCTTTTCCGACTTCAAAAATCGCGCTAATTAACCACAAAAAAAAAAGTAAAATAATAATAATAAACAAAAATAAAAACACGGTGCACAAATGTTGCAATAAGGAGCTTTTTGCAGCTGCAGGCCATAAATTAAAGCCTTTCAGTTTTGTCGCTAAATAACAGACATATTTATTGCATATTTGTGGATATTTGCCGTTGATAACAAGTATGAGCACGTTTCTCTTAATAACAAAAGACACATAAATAACAAAAAAAAAACTGCAGTCAAGCTCATGTTTAAATGTAAAAATAATACAAATAATATTGCTCGCAATTTGTTTTAAAAACTAATTGGGAAATGTTGTGCCAATATGTGCACATACCAGAAGTTTAATATATATAATATATATTATATATAATAAATAATATAAACGAAAAGGAATATAAACGCAGCAGAGACTTTTTCTGTGTGAAATATGTTTGAAAGTGTTTTAAAATATTAAATATTTTTAGGAAACATTTTTAGTATTGGTTTTTATTTTGGCAAATTTTAATAAAAAGGCTAGGGAAGCGCGCTCAAATGTAGATGTGGATGGTTTATCAGAATTCCTTTGATTTAACGGTAACTAATAACTTGTTGCCTTTAAAATCATTTGAAATTCAACAACTTAGCAATTGAAAATAATAAATAAAAAAATGAAATTAAAGACTATATAAAAAAATGTTTATAATTAGTATTTTCTAAAATTAATCCGAATTTATTGTTGTGACAGACAGATTTACTTGACCTACTGCTGGCAACGTATAAAAATGCCACTTTAAGATTAAGTGACAAAGTATTTAAATTTAATTAGTATGTTGTACGTAAACAAAATCTAATTGCATTAGGAACATTTTCAAAATCATAGTTATTATTTTAAACAGATGCTCATTAGCTGCCATTCAGATATGTGCAAATGGTTCAATACTATAATTATATTGCCGCGTGACACTTGATAAATGACTTTACATGACAATTTATCTCGACTTATTTGCATATTGCAATCTATTTGCAAATTTGTAATACAAATCGCATTAAAGTGAGCTAGAGTCAACGTTGCATGCTGCAAAATTATTTGCAATTGAATTAATCACTTAACTCTTAAACAAAGAATTGATTAATGCGTGTCTGCTGTTGGTCTGAAATATTATGCATACGCCCAGGTGAACGCCAAATATTTAACATACCCGAACCCTTTTTCCTGGAAACCAAAAATAGTTGTTTTTGTTAAGGGCTCTAGACTAGCAAATACCCTGTAACAGGTAGTGTTTTCATAATATATATGTTGATATTACGTAAGAGTTTTAAAATTAATATTTAAATAAATATGGTGAAAAACTAAAGTAAAATGTTAAACTAAGAATTGAAATATCAAGTTTACTAGATCCTGAGTTTTATGACTTAATAATAAAGACCGTGCATTTGATACTCTTTTAATTATTTAATCAAGAAATTAAATATACATTCATAACGAGATTTTCAGCTTGAGTAGGACAATTAGACCAGAGTTAGGGTTTCTTCTTTAAGCCTTAATAATATACACTGTAGGCATATTTTTAGAGCAGGGTATATTCTGAATGGCAGTTTAAACATTTTAAGCTGTCACTAAGATTCTCGAGCTTTCAGAAAGCGTAACAAACATATTTTCTTTAATTTTTGTTTTGTTGCGACAAAAGACGGCAAATTGGCTGCGATAGAAACAAAACAAACGACAGCGGCAACAACGCTTCTGGGAAGCCAGAAACTCTTGGATAAGTATTCAAAGTTGAAACAGTTGTACTTTGGCTTTGGCCAGCGTCGGTTGTCGGTGGTTTCTTTGCCGCTTGTCGGATGAACATTTCATGTTTATGGCGCTGCCTTTTTCGGGCGCAACAGGACGCACCTTAAAAAAATAATCGCGTCGCGTCGCGTCTCGTCGCGCTGCTTATATCTAACCTTTAATTGGAAACCGAAAAAGAAATATACATATGTACATATATATAAAAATAACAACTACCAAGTGGCAGCTGGCAGCTGCGAGCCGCCAATTGGCAGTTAACAAAAGCCAGTCGGAGTCGGGAGTTGAAGTCCACTCACAAATTGGCAAGTGCGGGCTTGGAAGCCGGCTTTGTGTCAGTCGTTGGCTGCTCAGTGTGTCAAATGTGTTGAACTTTAAAGTGGCTCCAGCTGAAGTTGAAGTGCTTAGCATAGACGCAGCCAGCTAGTCAGCTAGTCAGTCTGGCTGTCAGTTTATCATTCTGTCAATTCATGCAGTCGCTTATCACGTTGTTTGACTTTGAGCCTCTTTTGAATTATGCTTTGCTATCTGCACATGGCCCAATGCCAGTTCCCTCCCCCCCCCCAGGCCATTTTTACATATATTTTTCTTTATCACACCTGCTTTGAATAGCTCAAAAGCACTTCCACTTGCCCCAGCTCCAAAGCTTTTAAAGAAACCCACTTCAAACTCAACTCGTGAGCTGCACATCCCGTTCGAATTGGAGCCAAAGAATTTGTTACTTTTTAAGCTGTCCAAAAAATTATCTTTAAAGTTGTCTGAACAATTATGTGCACGATTAATTTAATGAGAACAATTGATGCACAGCTGCACCGAAGCGTTAATACCCTTTCTATTTGAGATTTAAATAATTGGCTTATTATCAACTCGATTCCCTAACTGCGAAAATATGTATAAGAGAAGAGTTATTTTTTTTAAAGGAAATTCTCGACCGATCCTAACTGTGATGATATAGCACAAAGTAATATTCTAATAAAATCTTCGAAGCATTTAAATAGTCAATTATTATTGATTTAAACGTGAAAACCATAAAGTTGTCTCATGTTTGACCAATCCCAACTATATCATATAGATTTTGCCTGATATATTCAAAGCTTTAAAGCAAAATACGGAAAAAAACAAAAAGAAAATGTATTAAAATAATTGATATGGTGATGCGATCCGTTTAACTCCAACTTATTTACTAAAAGCAGCCAGGATAATCATGTATACCAAGATTCACCTAAAGAGCTTCACTTAAAGCTTAGTTCGGAAAGGTATAGATGGATATGGAAATACGATAAATAGATTGATCAAGAGTCTGCGTAACACATTTCATAACAAAATTGTAAAACTCTCTTAAAGCGTAGCTGAAAAAGTATTTTTCAATTTAAAGATCAATTAAATGTGCCAAAATTGTATTTGTTCAATGAGTTGGCAAATTTGGTTGGACTATAACCAGGGGCTTGGCCAGACTTGGTCTGAGTTAAGACCCAGCTAGGCCCATATAAATACGAAACGAGTGTTAAATCGATTTGCCAAAAATAGCAAAGAACGATTTATAACACAGAAATTAATCTAAAAATATTGTAATACACAAAGGAAAAGAAATTAAAAATAAAACAAAATTAATGCCCATTCTTTAATTGCAATAATCAGAAATTGTACGCAAAGTCCCTTGAGAACTGTGGAACTTTGCGCGGCCTTAAGTCTATGATAAATTGAATTGAAGACCGGGCGCCAGCGTAGCGAGGGGCGTAGAGGGGGGTTACGACTCGTGGGTGCTGCTATCAATAAAAATTAAAAAAAAAAAAAAACTAATAACAAAAGCTGACGAAAAATGTTGGGGGAATTGTGTTGTAATTTTGTCAGTTATTATTAAATATTTGTATGCGCTGTAAAATGCTTGGAAAGGGGTATTTAGGTAGGAGAAAACATTTGGGTATAACAGTAAGTTGGTTGCCAATAAAATGTATAGAAATATTCCTTATCAACATCATAGTATTATTCACATCTGAGCAAGCCCACGAACCTCAGAGATTATAAGAGCTAAAGCTAAAAAATTTGGTATGCGGCTTCTTATATATCCTACCCTACATTAAATTCAAAGCAAATTTTAACTAGTCACAACCATATACCATATCCCACCTTAGACTCAATTACAGAGTGTCTACTAGTCGAGCAGCTCGCTATTTAATTTGAATTCCAAATATGAGATAACAAATTTGAACGATATTCAAACGAAGTTTGTTATTGATTTTCGTACAGGGTAACCTAAAGTCGGGCACTTAAAACAGTATGTTTGATAGTTTTTGTTATTTGCTGTTTTGTTGATTTTTTTATCGAGTAGTTTTTGTTATTGTCTCTTTTTGCACATTAATTGATAAATGTGTCTTTTATCAGTTTGTGATCAAAAGTAATTAAATGAGTGGAACGTGGAAAACATCAAAGAACACGCACACAAGCATACAAACACACACACAATGTGAAAAGTGCGTAAAAAAAAGTGCGCGAGAAGAAGATAATTGACAAGAGAATTAACAGTTACAATTATAAAACAGAGCAAACAATTTGCCAAGTTGCTGGACAAACATAAAACGCAGAGCCAGAAGAATTCAAAACATAAATAACAACAAGAACAACAACAACAACACGATAAGAACAAAGCAGCGACTGCGAACAACTTCTTTGCAGAGCTGCGCGAAGGTAAGCAGCGCAGCAGCAGCAGCAGCACCAGATAAAATGGCGTTCAAGTGCAGCAGCGGCGTTGGAAGTACTGTTATTCTGGCTGCCATTGTTGTGCTGAGGCTGCACATCTGTTTGGGTAAGTGCGACAGAGATAGCTATAGCAATTGACTGTATGTGAGTTTGTTGTTTCTTTTCGTAATTGGAATACAAATGTTTGATCGTCGCATGCAAATGTCAACAGTTAAATGTAAATATTTAATAGATAAGAGACTTGTGAAACCGACGACATATTGGGCATTCGCTTTGCCACATTTCTTGAAGCGAATTTTAAAGCTACAAATGTATCTATAAATGGTAGGTAGCTTGCGGGAGAAGAAGGCAATTTGTTTGAGATATAAGTGCTGAGAAAAAAAGAGCAATTGTTGGGCTTTTTTGGATAGATGATGAGATCTAAATATGGAGCAAATAGAAAGAATGGAAGAGAGACAGGGACATATCAAGATAGAGTAAGGGAGAGAGAAAATGAGTGGAGAAAAGAGAACAATTTAAACAATAAAAAGAATATATGATATATGTAAATGGTCAATGTCAAAAAAGTAAGGAGGGCAAAGCGGAAGAGAGAGAGGGAGAGAGAGAGTAAAGGAGAAGGAAATAGAGTAAGCACGTGCATGATAGATAGAAATTACACTATATGTAAATGAACGATATCCAAAAACAAAGAAAGGGAGAGAGAGCGGTAGAAAGAGAGCAAAGGGGAAAAGAATAGAGTAATACGTGAACGATAAAAATAATTTACGACATATGCAAATGATCGATATCAAACTCCCTACTTATCGATAGGCAAACAGGCGAAATTTATACTAAGAAGATACAAGATACAATCTTTATTAGGCATAAATTAAATGGAATTGATGAAGTGCAACGCTTAACAATCCAATGCACTTATCTACTGTTAAATCGATTCAATGTATCCGCGAAGCAATCAATGATACTGCACACGCCCCCAGTTCCCCGCCCCCAGCGCACGCATGCCCAAGTGCGGATGATCATAAAAAAGCCAATTACACAAATTAGTCGGCGAGCAAATCAAACCTCACAGTTACGCAGCGTGGGAATGCAATTGCAGATGCAGATAATCGTTAAATCGAGTTACCTGAGAGGCACCGCCTTTCCCCGGTGGCTTTTTTATATGCGGCCTAATGATATGCTCAAAGGTTCCGCATCTATTTTTATACCATTTTATTTATGGGTCGCCACACAGGTGTGAATCCTTCGATTTGACGGACTTTTTTGACATGTGAGTAAACGATATTGTGCTGGGAGTCCAACTGACGTGGGTGTGCGTGTGTGTGCGGGTCTGTGTGTGTGTGTATGTGTGTGTATTATGAACACACCCAAATTAATTTCAACACACAGACACATATCAAATTTTTTGTGCTACCTTGAGGGTTGGAAGCATTGGACAGCTGACCTCAGTCAACCCCTCCTGCTGCTGTCTTTATCTCTGCCACATATTGACTCGTGCAGCTCGCAGCTATTTGCACTTGCAGCCAAGTTGAACGCACTGCGTCGTGACTGGGTACAGGGCCCGCCCGTCGACTACGTCTCCCTCTCTCTCTCTCTCTCTTTCTCAGCCCGCTTCCAATCGCCGGGTCAAAGGTGTCGAAATGCCCAACAGCTGCTTGCCAAAACGAAATAGTTTATGTATAAGAGAAGCAAAAAAAAAATGAATTTATGCGAAATCAATTAAGTCAATAGGTGTGTGTTGTAACCCAGACCCCACCCCCCCCCCCCTTGGGCCGCCTACCGGCCCCGTTACCATTTAACTTCGTTTATTTTGCTCACAGCTTTTTTCGCATTTAAGTGGCCGTTGACGCTTGGCACTTGGCCCGGCATCTGCCCCACCATTTAAACGCCCCTCGCCTCCAGCCCCGTCCCCCTCCTGCACCCGTTTGAAGCTGTCTCACGGCTTTGATTAAATTGTTATAATTGTTTGGTATTTTTTTGTCTGGCTTGTCATCGGAGCTGCGCACGTGTTTTTCTTTAACATGACACGAACTGAAAATCTGTAGATCGAACATGAAATGAAGTAAAGCCTGCAAAACTAACAAAAGATTCACGGCTCGAACCAGAGCCTCGTCTTAATACATGATTGGATTCGTGAACTTAGTTCATGGGAAAAGCGAAGCTTCGGATTCAAGTCCGGCTTGCAGGCATGCCAATAGTTAGTTAATAGATTAACTACTAAAGCAAATATGATAACTGCATTTAATAAACATATAATAAAATAATTTAAAATGTTATGGTCCATTGTTATATACCTAAATTTCACATATATTTCGAATGTGTAAGTGAATTTTCTGATACAAGTGAAATCGCATCGATTTATTTGGTGTTTAGGTCCTTATAATAATATTCAGTTGTTGGAAAATAAGTAGCTTCTATTCTGAAGTCGGAGCAATATAAAAGAATTACAATCGGATAAAAACGAATAACTTTCATATTAATAACATATTTCCACCCAGTTTCCACGATTGTGTGTGAATTCTTAATGTTTTTGATTCCGGTTTTTGTAATATTGCAAACTCTCCTAAATATGATAAGATAGCCAAAGAAACTTGTCAAACCAAACACTCATGGCCTCTCTTGCCTAGCAATAAATTAATGTAGAGATTGTCAAAAAACAATAAAAAACACGAGCACAATTATGAGATCTGTCTGTCGCACCCAGATACGCCCCATAACAAATGCATTTACAGAGTCTGGCTGAAAACTGTTTTTTTATTTCTTCTGAGATTTCCATTTATAATGCGCTGCATTCAGTTTGTTGCTCCTGTGTGGAATATAAATTTTTATTAACAGCCACAGCGCCCGTCATCTGAATAGTTACACGTTCAGTTTTAAGAGTAACATTTCTAATTAATTGCTCCAGCAAGTCGCTTTGTTAGATAAACACGATTTGAACTAATTGTAGGCTCCATTAATTAGTCGCCATAACTCGTCCGTTGACTATGACAAATGTGCTCAGCTCTCTGGTGACAGTTAACAATTAGAGAGGGGCAAGCCCATCGATCACCTTTTAGGAGCAATATGTAATATGTGTGTGCTCCTATTCAAAGCGTCAGCTGTGTTTGCGTGTGTGAATAGTTATTCATTTCGCGCATACTGAATGCTGAATACGGAATACTGAATATAGTGAATAGACAAAGTCTTTCAAGTTCATTTGCAAATGCCGCGCACTCAAAGTGGATGTTGTTTTCCCTTTTTCATCGCCTGTCCAGCTGCCAATGCGACACTTCAAAGTGGAAACTGGCGGAAAAGCGACAAATGCGACTCCAGGGCGATAAGCAAATCAATTAAATGCGTATACCCTTTAAGAGTAGCCACTAGGGCATATAAATAACAGACATATCATAATGTTTCCTTAAATAAAATGGGAAATCAAATTTAACCAAGCGAGCCTTAAGGCTGCGAGTTGATTCACATTGTAAGCCGAACCAGGAACAATTTCTCATAAAATATTTATATAAATAATATTTATTTGTTGGCTGGCTCGAGGTCCGTGTTTGTTAAAACAAACAATGAAAAACAATTTTATTCAATTCTCTTCCGATATATTTCGGTTGCACATCGGCAAACCGTCTTCAGGGCACTAACACCAAGATACAAAAAACAATTAACAATTATAATACAATAAATTAAACATTATTTCGAACATTTTACATACATTATTTTACACGTCTGCGCTTTTTGACGTGGAGATTGTTACTGAGGTTGTTTGACTGTTTAAGAGGTGTCTGTACAAGTGAGCGCAATTTTCTGTGTCTGTCTTGTAGTTTAGTCGTTTGTAGGTTGGTGTGTTAATTATGTGTAGCATTTCCAATGTGTGTCGCTTGTTATAGTGTTGTTCTTGTTGTAAGATTGTTGTTTCATCAAAATTTGGTGTGTGGTTGCTTCTTATACAATGGGTCATAAGTGCTGTTTTCTGTATATTATTTTGATGTCTTAGTTTGAAGTCCGATTTATGTTGACTAATCCTTGTTTTTAGCTTCGATTTTGTTGTACCTATGTAGACACTATTGCACTTGTTGTTGTTATCCCCGCCACATGGTATTTGGTAAACGACGTTGCTTTTTTCGATCATCGGGATTTTCGACTTTATCTTGTTGAAGAATTTTTGTAATGTATTCGTCGGTTTGTGTGCTACTTTTATATCTTGTTTGTTATAACAGTCTGAGTTTGTGAGGCGTTCTGATAGTCGTGGTACATATATTAGTGATTTGTATATTTTAGCAGGTTCTGTTGGCTTTTTTCTTTCGATTTGTCGTCTTTTTAATAATGTTTTGATTATATTTGGGGGGAAGTCATTTTTGGTCAAAAGTTCTTTGATTTCATGTTCAATTTCTTTGTGGTATATTGTGTCCGATATTTTCATCATTCTATTCATACAGCCTAGTGCTGTATTGATTATCATACTCTTTGGGTGGTTTGAATTGAAGTTGAGTATTCGTCCGGAGGCTATGGGTTTCCTATACCACTTTATTTTGAGTGTGTTGTCCATTCTGCTTACAATAGAGTCTAAAAATGGTAATTTCCCGTCCTTTTCTAATTCCATTGTAAATTTTATCTGTTTGTGGAAGGAATTCAATTCTTTTAGAATATTTTCCACGTCTATTTTGTTCGTTATGGCAAAAAGGTCATCTACATATTTGGTCAAGAGTCTTGGTTTTATTTTTAATTTATCTGTAATCTTGTCCAACAGTTCCTCCATTAATATATCTGCGATTACTGGGGAAGCCGGTGATCCCATTGGCATTCCCTTAAGTTGTGTGTATATTTTGTCTTCGTATTTGAAATATCTGTTTTCCTGTATGCAAAATCTAACTATGTCCATAAATAGTTGTTTCGGTATATTCGTGTGCTCTTCTAATTTGGTCCATTTTTGTCTTATTGTGTCAAGTGCTAATTCTATTGGTATGCTGGGAAATAAGGATACTACGTCAAAAGATACTAATGTTTCCTCTTCTCTAATCTGGGAGTTGTTGACTCTGTCTTTAAAATCTACCGCGTTCTTGATGTTGTACCTAGAGTCCATTGTCAGATTTTTTAATATTTGTATTATATATTTGCACAGCC